TGTGTGTGTGTGTATTAAATACATATATAATTTATTTCCCGTTTTTCTCTTAACTTTCTTTAGGATAACGAGTAATAAAGTGAAATTATAACTTGTTTCAATCAACAAAATTAAATTAAAGCATTTTATATATGCGATATACAGTGTGTCCCATAAGTTCGGCAACGGCAAGAAAACTCGGCGGGGGAGCATTTTAGAGAAAAATGTTTCCAATAAAAGTTGTAAGGCTTAAAAAGTCGCATTTAATATAGATAATAATTTAATTTAGACAGTAGCTATTTGACCTAAGATGACGTCGCCAAGATCAGGACAAGATCAACTTTGCTTTTTTAAATAGAAATACATATTTTTTATTACGGGATTTTATTCTACGTAAAAAAGCAAACAACTTTTGCTTGAAAAAATTTTTTATACGACCTCTATTTTCTAAGATATTTACGTAAATATCTACAAAATTATTGGTTTCAATAATTTTTTACTTGAATTCTATTAACTTTACCGAAAAATATTAAGAGATAAAAATTGCTTATTTTGTTTTCAAAGAGCTCTGAGAATTTTTTCAGAATTTTGTGTTAACTTTTTAGTACTTCAAGAAAATGCAAGAAAATGCAGTACTAAAAAATTAATATAAAATTCTGAAAAAATTCTCAGAGCTCTATGAGAACAAAATAAATAATTTTTATCTCTTAATATTTTTCGGTAAAGTTGATAGAATTCAAGTAAAAAATTATTGAAACCAATAATTTTGTAGATATTTACGTAAATATCTTAGAAAATAGAGGTCGTATAAAAAATTTTTTCAAACAAAAGTTGTTTGCTTTTTCACGTAGAATAAAATGCCGTAATAAAAAATATGTATTTCTATCTAAAAAAAGCAAAGTTGACCTTGTCCTGACCTTGGCGACGTCATCTTAAGTCAAATAACTACTGTTATTAAATGCGACTTTTTAAGCCTTACAACTTTTATTTGAAACATTTTTCTCTAAAATGCTCCTCCGCCGAGTTTTCTTGCCGTTGCCGAACTTATGGGACACACTGTATATGCCCAATTATATGTGTTGTTTATGTAGACAGACCCTGCTTCACGAGTGTTTTGACACTAGTTAAACTAGTGTCTGAGATAATTTTTGTAAATTTTAAACGGACGATATATTCACGAAGATAAAATGTATCCATGTGTATTCGGGAAGATTGAAGTTTGTATATATTTCACTTTATACGAAGTGTCTAATTATAATCAACGGAAACAAATAACCTTTTGGAAACAAAATTAAATCATAATTTTTTATTCATTAATTTTTCAGATAATAATTCAAGTATACACAGACATGCATTTTTTGATAGATCTAATATTCTTCCTTTTCAAAATCCTTTATCGAATATGTGAGAATGCGTGCAACAAACTTTGCAGTTTCTTCGTCTCAGAGAAACATGTGCACGATGAGATTGTTTTGGTACGTACTAAACGTCTAACATGCATAAAAGTATAAAGTAAAAAATATGTTATCAAATGTCAAATCGTGAAATTTGAACCTCGCGTTGTTCTTTCTTTCACGCTAGATTACAGGTGCGGGTCATGGTATAGGAAGAGAGTTGGCATTTCAATATGCACGTCTGGGTGCAACAGTGGTGTGTTTAGACATAAATCAGCAAATGAACGAAAATAGCTCTAACGAAATTGCAAAAACTATAGGAAGACCAGTATACGCGTATCAGTACGTTAATATTAAGTTTTTTGTTTTTTATATATGCAACTATCAAAATTTCTAATTTGTGTATGATTAATATCATAATCTGCGATTAAGGTTTCACATTGTGTTCTATAGGTGTGACGTAACCGACAATGCACGAGTTCGCGAGGTAGCCGAAAAAATAAAGAAAGAAGTCGGTGACATAACTATTTTAATCAATAACGCTGGCATAATGCCCTGTTATAATTTTTTGAATCTAACACCCGATCAAATCACAAGTCAGTTCAACGTTAATGTGCTATCACACTTCTGGGCAAGTGGAAATCTTCATTTTGTATTTGTATGTTAATTTCATTATATTTCGCTATCGAGTAATGTGCATCAATTTATTTTAGACAATACAAGCATTTTTACCCGGCATGATCGAAAGGAACTACGGTCATATTGTTGCTATATCCTCGATAGCCGGACTCGCAGGAGTGCCTCATTTGACCGCTTATTCCGCTACGAAATTTGCTGTCAAAGGTAAATTCGATTTCGTGTAATTTAGATGCTTTGACTCGTTATTTAATCAGGATGAAATAATTATAGGTTAATTAAAAAAAAAATAACGTTGCTTTCTGAAGTTCTCACATATATCTTTCAGGTTTTATGGAATCGCTTGAGGAAGAATTACGAATATCTAGTAACGGAAAATCTTTGATTAAATTCACTACAATTTATCCTTCCATAGTAAATACCGGACTCTGCAAAAAGCCAAAAATAAAGTGAGTTAAATTAATATATCGAGTAAATGTACCATGCATTACCAAACGAAAATATAAAAAGATCTCGATTCTAAACGCGATATATACAGTAAATATTCACATTTCTTTTATCTTCAGATATCCTTTATTTATGGGACTAATTTCTCCAAAAGATGCGGCCGCTATAATAATTAGCGCACAACGGCAAAAAATAAACGAAAGATCCATACCTTCATATTGGAAACCACTTGTCGATACGTTCAAGTAAGTATTCTATGACATATTATCATAGAAAATTGATAAATCTGTTTTTATTGCCAAATAAATATTTAGTAAGTCACATTTTATGCATAGTAGCTTAAAGTCAACAATGCTGTCAAATATAATATTTCAAATATATAAATCAAAATATATCAAAATCATTTTGTTATAATATAGTTATACATTTTAAAAAACTTACTATATACGATACAAGTATAAGATAAACCAGAACGCGAGCTATATTTCACATAAATTATCTTGAATAATGAATTGAAAAAATAGGCAGAGACTACTTTACTATAATTTTTATTTTAGAATTTTTCCCAAACGCATATGTGAAGATTTAAGGGATTTCTTAGATTTTGGCCTTGAACCAGAATACTAAGAAATATTTAGTCAAGATTTGGAAGAGATTCGTGGAAAGGGAAATCTTGTCGTACAATTATTTATATTTCCTTTTGTAGTTTTCTTAACAACATTAATAGCGTTAGAGATGGACCAATAAATGTAATTTCATTTACTTTGAAAGTATAATCTGAAGTAAGATGATGACATTCGACGTTTCTATTGGGAGAGATCAACCATATACATGTAAAAATTCAACAAAATTGGAAATCTCTTACAGGGAAGATGAAAAAAGAACGGAGTTTTGAGGTACTAAAAAAATAACAATTAAAACTTCATTTTTTTATAATAAATTTATTTAAAACATTTTCTTCCGATGTTGCACACATTATCGTTGTAGATAAAATATAAATGAGTGAAAACATCAATGAATACAACAGTATTGAATTTAATGTGACACTACATGTAAGTTTTTTTATAAAAGTATAACATTATTTTATACATATATACATACATACATGCATATGTATGAGGAAATCCATGTTACTATATAAAATAAAACATATAGCGTGCATAAAAATAATTTCGATTAATCTACTGACGAATCCTGCAAGAAATTAAGATAAATTTGATCAAGCCCGTCAAAACCTCGTAATCCTACTTTTGCGCCAGCGATACGACATGCAAATGTAATAGCCTTTTGCAGAACCGTTTCGTCAATAAATTCCATTCGGGCGTATTCCAAATTTTTTACATTGCAGCATTTATTTGCAAACTCTGCTTTACTTCTGTTTAAGTAGTACAGTACAGCTGCGTTAAATGTATCACCTGCGCCCAAAGTGTCCATTACTTTTCGCGGAGGAAAAGCTGGAGATTGCACTACGTTACCACTTGCGATACATGCTATTGCACCCTTCTCTGCCCAGGTGCAAATAATAGCCGCTCTAAAAAAAAAAACATTTAACAGAATGTAAACTTTCAGCGTAACAAAATATTGTCTGTTGACGTTCTATGTGTTAAAAGTAATGAATTTTATTTTTTACCTCGATTTAACGTTCGGGCCGATATTGTTTAACATCTCGCTCATACTTTCAACACCTTGATTCTTGGCGAAATCTTTCGATACGAATACTACATCAGCATGCGGCAACAGATCCAATAATTCCGGGCTGGGACGTTCTAATTCTACACTAATCATAATTGGCGAATCACGATTTTTGATATCTCGATCGTGCGTGTCGTTTAATAAGTCATTATAATTTTTTACGCGTCTTATCATAGCTAACACTTGGTCCAAATTCCTCCCCTAAAAGTGGGAAATAATTGCTTCGTTGCGAAATTATTTTCCAAGTTGCAAAAAGTACCTCAAAATGTATCCAACTATATTCCTCTAAATCAAGAGCCTCGAAATCCTTGAACGTTAATTCCGGAAAGTTGGATGCTCTGTGGTATATAATTGTACGACTTCCGGTACTTAAGCTCAATATAACAGTCGAAATAGGACAGCTAAAGTTTAGCGGCATTATAGGACAGTGGCGATAATTAATTTTATATTTATGCAGATCATTTTGCAGAAAAGACCCATGTTCATCCGCGCACGTGCAAGCTAAAAGTTCGCACGGCTGTCCTAGCAACGACAGCACGGTGCAAGAATTGGATGAATTGCCTCCTCTTTGCCATCGGTAGTCCGAAGATCTAAAATTTGTTTCAATATAGCTCGCGAAGGCTCTTCGCGTTAGGAAAGGAGAAATTTTACGTCGCGTACAAATATATGTGTATTTCACACGTCTTTATGTGTCTCACATAAAAGATTGGCCGCGCTAGTTACTATCGAGTCGAAAGAAACAGTTACATGCTTACGTAATTTCTAATCATTGTCGCGTCGCTTGATTTAAAGGTCAATATTAAAGTTTACTGATCTCCTGACTCAACTAATGATAAAGTTAAATTAAATAAAGCTGTAAAACGTGGGAGAGATTCTTTAGATAACGAGCTCGAAAAGTTTTTTATGCTACCAATTTTTTATCAATATGGGTTATTATCAATATGGTTATTTATCAGTATAAGTCCTGTTTACGTATCTATTACGTTATAAACTACATTGCATGAAGTCTCGTTCTTACTAAATGGCCAGAGATTACGAATTTCAGGCCACATATCAGTGATGTCGACAATAGTACGTCATAGGCGTAAAGTGGAAATCTATTGCTACATAACAACAATTATAAAATCACATATTATATATTATTTATATACGGGATGTACTATTTTAATCGCTCCACGCGATTATCTCCAAAATTACTTACTATTTGAAAAATATATTTCAGATGAAATTTACTCTATTTTAAGGAGAACTACTTACGATGAACACAATATTTTCTCTATCCGCACAGGATCTTTAGTCTTTTTTTCTATTTTATGATCGTAAGTCTAAGAAGCTCGATTATCATATTTTTTTATAAACGTTTTATTTGAAAAAAGAAAACTCGCCTCCCCTTCTTTGCGCCTTTCGTATCGCTCGGTCGGTTCACTCATTTCGCTTTCCAAAGCCGCACGCGAATCTAGTTTCGACAAATCCTATTTTGGCGAATTGGTCATACGTGTAAACTATGTCTAAATCAAATGGTGAGAGATCCTATATTTCACGAATACCACTGGTATCTCCAGTTTTAGATTCAAAGTTATCAAGGTTAAAAAAATAAAGGTTTCCGCTCAGGTAGAATAACATCACAATGATATCAACATAGTATCGAAATATATAACAATTAAAACACGCATTTTTAATCACGATTTCATCATTTTCTCGTAATTTTAATAGCATTAAAATTTTATTCGGGTCAGGTATTCAGGTATTCAATCGGAAGTTATGTATATTCCGAAACACGCGCACACAGTCAAAAGAACAAAATTAATATGACTACAATAACAAACATGAATATAAAATAGAATGTTTATGTATTTGTTATATCCTTGAATGTTTTGATGTTGACAAATATAAAATAAAAGATACATTCGGTTTTATATTCGTCACAGGTTCTTAATGACTGAGGCTGTGTTTCGATATTCATTACCAGTACTGAAAATTTATAGTTTATATTACATTAACTGCAAACTTTCAATACTGGCGGTGAATATCAGAATGCAATCTGAATATAATTTTCGATTCTTTTTCGAATATTCCACTTTAACGATTATAATTTGAGGCATGCAACATTAGTGAAAAATCGACCGCAAATTAATTCAAGCATGTCATTTGACATACATAATACATAAAGCAATGCATATCAAAGAGTTGCTCAATACATATTGAGATAGCCCGAACTCGCGTAGCTGACTCATTATAATTGAGCGCAAAAACAGATAGCAAAAGACAACACATACGATAGCTTACTAAGCGTACTAACCTTTCAGTGGAATCTTCCAAAGGGAATTGTTCGCACGTTTGGACGATATCGAGACAGATGACTCCCACACATAGAATTTTCTTTGGTATATTAGATTCCATCTGCGAAAACACACATTAACGATTTTTTCATTGAAAGTTGACAACCAATTAACATAATCCAAATGTAAAAACTTACCTTTTATTTAATCGGTGTGGCTGCGATGTCGGATATATCAAAAATTTCAATGCACGGCTTCGTGACATATATTTGAGTCATAGACTTTATATAGTATCTAAAGCGGGAAGTACAGAATAGAATATTTCCATCTAGCAAGCAATTCAGCACGTAAACAAGCATCGTGTGTCGCTGGCTTAACCCAGTTCGCAGTGCAGCCAGTGCAGCTAGTGCAGCTGAAAAGAACAGACCACTGCTTGTGTTGTTATCACAGACTTCTATATAGGGTGCCCACACTGGTAGAATACCCGTTAAGGATAGGTAGGGGGTGAAATTTGGAACTGAAAGTTCTTCTTCTATTTTTGGATCCAACAATTAGTTGGGAGCGTTCCGATTGACCACGGTACTATTGGACATAACCAATCGATGAAAAGAATTATCTAGTGAATTACTAGGTCGAACCAATCATTACAAATTATGTCTAATCGTACCGTGGTCAATCGAAACTCACTCCAATTAGTTAATGAGATATTAATTAATTAAGTCTGCCAATCCCTTAGTGTCTCGTGTGAGCACTCAAGGCTGTAAAATGCTGTAGACTCCTCAGGGGCCCTGCTTGTCCGTTTTTCTTGTCTTTTTTGTATCACAAAGGAATAAATATGCATGAGTGAGTGAGTAAATGTGTGGATGGGTGTCTGAACAAGGCTAGGAGGATGGCAAATTTTCAATGTGTAGGAGTGATGTGTATGGGTGTTTTTGTGTGCGATTATGAATGTATGGATAATTTGAATCTTTTTAGTGCGAATGGGCGGAGTGATTGCACTTTATGTGCCGGAGAAGGAGGGCATGTGTAGTATGTTTTCTTCGAGTGCGTGGGTGCCTTGAATGTTTTCTACATGTCGGTGGTTGAGTATCATGAATGATTTTAGTATATGTATATAAAAAGGGGAGAAAAACGAACAAGCAGGGCCCTTAAGGAGCCCATGGCGTCTTACGTCTCTGAGCGCTCACTCAAGGCGTTAAGGGATTGACAGACTTAATTAATTATTAACTAATTGTCGTTAACTAATTGTCAGATCCAAAAATGGAAGAGGAACTTTCAATTCCAAATTGCACCCTCTACCTACCCCTAACGGGTGTTCTACCAGTTATAGGACACCGCATCACTGATGCGTTTTCACATTCATGCACTTTTGGCATACTCGGCGCGCTAATGAACTTTTGGTGTACGTGATTGACAGCGCACACGTCTGCAATCTTTTCATGTGGAGTAATGGACAACGCTCCGTGTTCCATACGTCTTTCGCTTGTGTCTTGTGAGCCTCCTGCGAAAATAGGTTTGTTCGCGTCTCATACCCCAACGTGCTCTTACTCGCTCCAATGCACTCTGATTGGTCACGTCACCACGCGGACCAATCAGAGTGCGTTGAAGTGAGTAGGAGCACATTAGGGCATGCGATGTGAGCAAATCTATTAAGTATTAGAATGCCGAAAACAACGGCGTGCAGTCGTCAGGACCACTGAAATATATACTATCTGTGCTGGGATTCTGTAACTCGTTATTGGAGTTAACGACAGTTTCGTTATCGTTGCGCAGCTTTTCTATGGTATACAAAAGCTGCACAACGATAACGAAAATAGAGTATTTCTAGGTTCTCTGTTCGTCAACCAATAAACGTATCCGAAAAGCTTGTCATATGACATGTGAAATAACACTCTTATTCTGTAACTCGTTATTGGAGTTAACGACAGTTTCGTTATCGTTGCGCAGCTTTTCTATGGTATACAAAAGCTGCACAACGATAACGAAAATAGAGTATTTCTAGGTTCTCTGTTCGTCAACCAATAAACGTATCCGAAAAGCTTGTCATATGACATGTGAAATAACACTCTTATTCTGTAACTCGTTATTGGAGTTAACGACAGTTTCGTTATCGTTGCGCAGCTTTTCTATGGTATACAAAAGCTGCACAACGATAACGAAAATAGAGTATTTCTAGGTTCTCTGTTCGTCAACCAATAAACGTATCCGAAAAGCTTGTCATATGACATGTGAAATAACACTCTTATTCTGTAACTCGTTATTGGAGTTAACGACAGTTTCGTTATCGTTGCGCAGCTTTTCTATGGTATACAAAAGCTGCACAACGATAACGAAAATAGAGTATTTCTAGGTTCTCTGTTCGTCAACCAATAAACGTATCCGAAAAGCTTGTCATATGACATGTGAAATAACACTCTTATTCTGTAACTCGTTATTGGAGTTAACGACAGTTTCGTTATCGTTGCACAGCTTTTTTATACCGTGGAAAAACTGCGCAACGACACCTACAACGACACGATCCGGCAACTATCGGAACCACGATAACGGAATAGCAGCCATGGAACGCGCGCTACCTCTTGCGGGATGAGAGAGAGCATGCTTGTAGGTCTCGAACAGCGCTTTGTCTTTGTCTAGTACAGTCTGAACCAAAAGCTAAGTCGGCTGATTTCTAAACATAAGCTGAATCTCCGAATTAGGAACCATCTTTGCTTTGTTTTTTTTAAATAATAAGTCGATAAGTAAACACTAATTAATGAGAAAAAATATATATATTTTTTTAAATCTTAAACTTTCATTCATAAGCTTAAGTCATTGCCATTCAGTGTGGTCATTGCTTTTCATATTATCTCTAATTTTTAACTTGGATTGTATCACATTCTCCCCACTATACTATAAACCAGACAAGGATAAGAGAAGAAACAAGGAACATCTCTCTCATCCCGCACGCCTCAAGAGGTAGCGCGTGTTCCAGGTAATATATATTTCAGTGGACCCAATTGACCACGGTACGATTGGACACAGATTATAATGATTGGTTCGACCTGGTAATTCACTAGATAATTCTTTGCATCGGTTGTTGTGTCCATTCGTACCGTGGTCAATCGGGACGCTCCCTGCACAATCCAGGCAACAGGCAATAGAAACAGAGAATGGGAATTCGGATTGGTTAATTATTTCTATTCCCTGTTCCTATTGGTTAATGCCTATTTCTATTGCTTGTTACTTGGTATTGTGCACAGGGCTTTACAGCGCGTGAGCGCCTAAAGCGAACATAGCCCAAGAGAGAGACCAAGATGGAGACGAGATCCAATTTTTAGAACTTGAAATACGATATTAGTTACTGATAATTCTAAATTTACGTTATTTGTATCGGATAGAACGCGTTATACATTTGAACGAAAGTATTTTTCGTTTGTTGTAGCAAATTTTTTTCTATCAAAAAGGGCAAATTTATGCGACACCTAACTCAAGTTCGTTAAGCCAACGAATTTGGCTCAAGTCAACGTGTAATTTCATTTTAACATTTGCAACACGTAATTTGTCACTTTGTCAACGTTTATTTATGTAAATACGATGGATCCACGTTTACATAGAAGATCCGAATCGGAAAAGGGAGCGAATGACTTGGTTAGTTACATTAACCTCGAAAGTCTGTTTCATGACATTGTAATAAGCTGTCCATATAAACATTATGCAAACTTTCTAAAATCATGTGTGAATATTTGCCTTTATATTTCTGCCTCTTGTAAAGACTGCAAGTAGCAAAAACTTACAAAGTTTATATCTAAGAAACATGTGTTGATATTTAAATAAATTCCAATTCTATTAAAAACAAATTGATAATATTGAGAATATATAATATTTTACAAAGGAAAAAAATATTTTGATGCCTGGACAATAACATAACAATATTATACAATATTTATTTATTTTAGAACTGTAATGGTTTTATCTTGAAATAGCTGTTTGCTATATTAAAATTGATGTTCTAAGACAATAGAGATAATTGACACAACATTGAGACAAAAAACAATTCTTATTTAAATATATTATTTTTAAAGGATAACGAATAGGTAAGTGAGAGTCAGTGCTGATGTGCGAGCGTTTTTTTATCTTTAAATGAAAATTATAAAGGTTTCAGTCTTAACAATTTGGATCCTCTTCAGTACAAAATTAATTTTATAGTATAAATCTGATGCCAATGATATTGACTAAACGGAAATTATCTTGTCGTTTGTCAACAGACGTTTAATTAGAGAGACTTTCTGTAATGAATGTCCATGATTTTGTTTATTGTCAGCTTGGTAACAATTTCCGCTTAGTCGAACATCATTGGCATCGGATTTATACTATAAAATTAATTTTGTACTGAAGAGGGTCCAAATTGTTAGGACTGAAACGTTTACAATTTTCATTTAAAAATAAAAAGATGCTCGCATATCAGCACTGACTCTCACTTGCCTATTTGTTATCCTTTAATGTTGTAATGTAGAGAGTTATCAATTTCTATATTATTATATTGTTCTTAACGTTTTATCCTTTTGCAGATTGTTGAATGGTTGAATGAAGTTTCTATGAGCTCTACTGAAGATGTTAAAGTAGCAAACTTATGTAAAACACAGGAAGTTTTGTTGAACAAGGAACCACATTTGTTACAACTTTATTTGGGCAATGTTTTAGAATTTGCAGCGGACAGAAGTGCAGAAGTCAGAAAAGCTATTATAGGATTTGTTGAGGAAGCTGGGTTATTATCAATGTCTTATTTTACTTACTGAGGATCTTATATATGTAGAAAATATAATATTGTATTATTTTCAGAATAAAGCATCCGGAGGTAATCCCTCGTACAGTGCAAATACTTCTTAGATTGTCAACAGACGAAGCACCGGCTGTAGCTAAACGAGTTCTTAGAGCCAGTAGTAGAATTCTTAGAGCTGCTCTCAAATGGATCTCTAGTGCTGCTATTGTCACATCAGAAATGGAATTAGCATGGAGTCAATTAAGCGCTCTTAAAGTACAGATTATAAATATGATTGACAGCGATAATGATGGGTAAGTATATTTGTTAATAAAAAAGATATTAAAAAGTAATTGTTTTGAGTTTAATTTTACTTAAACTTTTTTTTTGTTATAGAATTAGAACGCAAGCTGTAAAGTTTCTCGAGGGTGTAGTCTTAATACAAACATATCCTGACCCTGATTGTCCCAAGAAACCCGATGACTTTTCCCTTGAAGATATACCATTGACATTAAAAATAGCTCGCAGGCGAAAGTTGGAAGAGGAAGCAAAAAATGTAATGGATTTACTGATTAAGTTTCACGGGTCACCGCATGTTAGCAGCGTCAATTTAATGACATGTATGGGATCTTTGGCATTAATTGCCAAAACAAGACCACAGTTCATGTCAAATGTAATTCAAGGTATTGTATATATTTATTTGTGTACAGATGTATTATGTAGTAAATCTATTAACATTTTTCTGTATACGATGTATAATTGTCGATGTAATGTACAGCATTACAGAGGCTGCAGCATGATCTACCACCAACCCTGTCTGATTCTCAAGTGACCAGCGTACAAAAACAATTAAAACTTACACTTCTTGGATTGATGAAACATCCCGCTAGTATAGAGTATGCTTCAACCATAGCTAAGCAATTGGCTCAGCTTGGAGCAAAAGAGCAGGAAATTATTAAGGCTTATCCTAAACCGGAAGATGTTCGTCGAATGAAAAAACGCCAACAGGTATATAAGATTCTCGTTGAGGAAATATTTTTTTTATTCTGTGTACAATTCTTAAGAAGTCCAAATTTTTTTATGTGAAGGAAGCAGCAGCTGCTAGTGCCGCGAAGCGAGCAAAACTTGATATGGCCCTGATACCTGATGAAACAGAACCCGTACCAAGTCCCGTTCCTGCACCTAAATTGCCAGAGTTAATTGAACTTTCAGAAAATTTTATCGCTGAAAGACTTAGTGTAGAAATTGCAACAGACTTAGTGATGGATAGCATGGTACGTATCATAAATTATTTTTACGTTACAGAGCTTACATTCATGTCAAGTTGAAATTATTAATCGTTATTATTCCGTCGAATAATTATATTCAATAGGCATGGGTTCCCGATACCATGACGACAATTTTTCTAAGAGAATATCAACCTACTGCAACTACCGATATTAATATACAACGTCAAACAATCGGTAAACTTCTAGCAGCACAAATAAAACAGACTAAAGCGAAAAAGAAGAAAGATGCCAAAGAGGAAGATGCTGTAATGGAAGATTTAATCAAGAATCCTACTATTACCGTAGCCGAGGCAAAACGTGAGCGTAAACGCGAAAAAGATCGTGAGAAGGAGAAAGAAGCGAAAGCGTCGTTAGAGGCGCACGAGAAATCTCTCGCGAAAGCTAGAAATCGTTTGAAGGCGTTGAAATTGGCTGAGGTAACTAAACCGCTTGCGAAGGAAGTTAAGGAACGAATGTTACTGATGGCAGTTAATAGGATATTACTTTCGGAAAAGACTGCTGTTCTTGGTGGTGTTGCTGCTGTGAGGTACAAGAGACAAATATAATAAGCATGTAAATTTTCACACATAGTGGATATCTTCCATAATTAATTCCTTTGTGCTGCATTACAGATCCAAAATTTTGACTACATTGGCAGCAACTTTTAATCCTTATATTAAGGAAGCTGTATTACGTTATATTACGGATGACATGAGAAATCGATTAGATTTAGCTCTAGGTTGGTTATATGAAGAGTATGCCTTGCTTCAGGGTTTCCAAAGGCGGACTACGTTATGCACGAAACCGCAAGAAGCTCCACATCAAGCATATAACTTTTTATTGTGCACTTTAGTTTCGGCTATTGATTTAATTCAGGGTAAAGATCGTGATTCCTTATTATACAGGTAATATCATATGCTTGCATTTTGTATATAAGATAGAATATAGATAACTATGCTGTACCGATTGATATATATATATTTTTTTTCTTTTTTTTTTAAAAGATTGTACTTGGAAGCACCACTGATAACGGAAGATGCCGTAGAGGCTTTAAAAATGGTGTCATCCGAAGAAGCTAGAGGTCTTGCACCGTTACAACTGTTGAAAGAAATGGTAGTACGTAGACCAACAAAACAATTGGTATTTTTAAACGTTTTGCTGTGCCATACTGGACATGAAAACAATACGGTAAGACTGCACGATCTTGCGAAGCACTCAAGATACTATGTACATTTTATCATAAAAAAAAAGTATACCAGTTTTATGAAATAATAATAATGTTATATATGTTTATCTCCGAATAGATACGAGAGTCTGCGATACAATTAGTCTGTCAATTGTACAGCAGGGCAGAATTAAGCAAACTGATCGAGGAGTATGCAGTTCTATATCTAGGTTTTTTACGTCTTCATAATCCGCCCGAAATTGTTTTTGGGCAAGATAGAGGTAGACCGCAAATTGAAAATTTATGGAGCGAATCAACTACACGCGCTTGTCTAGGATTGTATCTTGCTCTTCTCAGTGAACATCAAGATCTTATTCACGAGTAAGTGAATGAAAACACTTAAGATTTTTTGTTACTAGATGCACGTAGAATTTCTTAAAAAGGCTATATTCGCACAATTCTGTGTTTAATGATAACAGATTAGCACGAGTGTACACATCAATGGGAGCAGATGTGAAACGTATCGTACTAAGACTGGTGGAAGGACCAGTGAGATCTTTAGGCATGGGAAGCCCACAACTACTGGCACTTGTTGAGAATTGTCCAAAAGGTTCTGAGACTTTAGTTACGAGGATTATACATATTCTTACAGAGAAATGTACGTTCTTTTCATTCCATATATATATATATATATATATATATATATATATATATATATATATATATATATATATATATATATATTTTCTC